GTTTTTCTAAAGTCCCTACCGTCCCTGCCCTGAAGGCACGGATCGCTAATGAATTGCTTCTTTTCCTGACCCAAGAGTGAAAAAGTTGGAAACTAGCCACTAGCTGCCAGAGTAGCGCAACTCCTCCACTTTGCAGCAAAGAGGAAACTCGTGGGTTCTTTTCGGACTCTGTCAGGCCTAGGCAGCCGCTCCCTTCCCCAACTCGGACCAAACTCTTGGGGGCTTTGGAGGGTCAGAGAGGATGCCCAGAGCAGGGATTCGAGGGAAGATGACGCAGAATCTGGGGAAGCTGACCAAGAACGTCCGGGACCAGTGGCCCTTTCCGCTTCCCGAGAGTACAGCTCCTACACTCGGGCCCCAGGGACAGGCCAGGAGTCCACGAGTGACAGCTGAGCTGGACGCAGGGCCGAGGTCTGGATGAGGAGGGGGTGTCGAAGCTCCTTCTTTTCTCTTACAGTCCCTTCCCAGTGCCAGGGCGGACACCACCAAGCTTCGCTCCCCAAACGCGCACAGAGCCAGGGTTAAGCAGCGGCAACCGCGAGTCTCTGGTTTGGTGAAGACGCCCCAGGATTTCAAGCGGCCCACACCCGCCCCCAACTTCATTATTTCTTAATTACTCTGCGACGGCCCAGCGCCAACCTTCTGGTTCCAGGACAAAGCTCATCCCAGTAACGCCAAGAAAGAAACCAGCCCAAGTAGCGCTCCCGCACCTGGGTCTGCGAGGGACTTGGAGGCCAGGGCAGGGACAGAGGCTTGGAGCAAGCGCCCCTCGGCGGAGGCGGGAAGCACCAGTCCCGGTATCTCTAGCACCCAAATCTAACGGGCTCCTTCTGCCTGTCTTCCTCTCTTAACACTGAGACACAGGTACAATGTGCTCAGTAAATAAAAAGACGAGAGTCCTTAACACGAATCTCGTGAATTACATGATATTCAAATTCAAATGACTTGAAATTCACTGTCCGCTTGCACAATGGTGACAAAAACTGAACTGGGGAGGAGCCGAAGGAAACGAGTCCTCGAGGGCAGTCCTGGCACCGTCGCTCGCCAAGTTTTCCAGGCCCTAGATCTCTCCAAAGAAGCTGCCCGGGCTGGAGACACTTCTCTGGACGGTGTGATGTAGTGAAAGTGCCCTACGCCCCACCCTGTCTGAAATATCACTCTGCTTTACATGACTGGAGTGATTCCTGGAGGTTATCTAGATCCTGTTTTAAAATGCAAATGTCAAGGGAATCTCAGATGTCAGTCACTCACACCTCAGTATGATTTACTCTAAGTAGCTGGTCTTTCCCATCAATAAAGTTAGCAGTTCTAAGGAAATTGATATTTAAATGAGAAAACTCGGAAACTGGAAGGGAATCAGAGGTTTCTGGAGTCGGATCCAAAGCTGGGGGAGCGCATGAAAGGCTGCAGAGGCTCTCCAGCAGAGACCAGGAGCAGAAGGGGACCAACGATCCCATTTCTCCCAGAAGAAGTGGCCAGCGTGCCTTTGAGCCAAATGGCTGTCAAGGTTTAAGAAAGAAAATCTAAATCTAAACCACTTTTGCCTTTGCCGCCCAGCGCCGCCGGCTGCCATCCCGAGCAGCGTGTTGGCCAGGTCTCCGCGGTCCTAGGAAGCACCCAGTAGAAGAAAGGCAGGGGCGAGCGCAGCAAAGATCAGAGTCAATTTTTTGTTTTTGTTCCCTGGAAACAATCGCTCCCGCAGGCTAGAAGACCCCAGGGCCTTACGTGGAGCCTCTTCTCGAGCGAGGCCCAGGCTGCGGGCACAAGTCCGGGACTCCCGGGCAGCGGGAAGCGCGCTAAGCGCAGAGGGATAGACGGAGTCCCCACCTTCGGGGTCTCCGGGGCCCTGCTCGTGGAGGGAGCTCGCCTTCTCCCGGCCACGCAGTCTGTCCTAGGGGACTCTTGTTTGCTCTTGGCTGCGCGTCGCGCGCTCAGGAGAAGCGGCTCTCCTCGACTCCGGGCAGGCGGGGCGCTGCTCTCCCTACAGGTTTGCTTTAATGATTTTCTTGAAAGAAAGAGACAGTTGTGAGCAAACAGGTTTGACGGGGACTGCTCCCCCCCACCCACACACCCCCAGGGGATTTCTTTTTGTCTGCGCCTGACTTCAAAGTCAGTAATCGGCCCCTGTCAGCGGCGTGACGAGGAGGATTTCGGCTGTTTGTTGGGGCGAGTCCTGGCTGCGCACCTCAGCGGAGGCTCTGCGGCCCGCGGGGCGCAGGAGGCAGGGCCGAGGCTGGTCCCTGCGGGGTCGCGGCTGGGGCCAGGCCTTAGGAGCGCAGACAGCTGCACAAGCCCCACTGCTAGGGAAGGAGATGAGGAGTGATTGGCAGAAGCGGCCAGAGCTAGGTCTGCAGCTGGAGGTCCCGGGACCTGCGCTGGGCCCTCCTCTCCCTGCTGGCCTGAAATAAGTCTCAGTGACCCAGCCGCAGGCGCACCCCAGATTCTTGGAACCCCCTCCCAAGTCCCCAGGGCCGGGCTCAATCTGGACCCTGGTTTCAGTTTTCCAGCTGCCGCAGCCTGAAGCCTTCCCCACTTGAACCCACCTGACGCCCCTTCCCAGCCTAAACCCGGCTGGAAGTCGGCTGGACGCCCCTGTAGGGCTGTGCGCCGGGTTCCTCCTGGGGCTGGGGCCCTCTGTGCACCCAGGGCACTGGTGCGCCGGGCTCTGCGGGGAGATACCCAGACCCCTGTAAGCTTCATCTTAGGAGATGTTAAGGGACACTGAGCTATGAGGGAGATCAGAGCGGTTGACAGGACTGTCAGTTGGGGTTATATCAGACAGCGAAACCGCGAAGCCTCCCCCTTGGGCCTCCTAGGCTTCGTGGGGGCGGGAGGAGGGGCTTTTCTTATGCGCTCGGAGCCCCTAGACCGGACGGCCACCAGAGGCAAGTCACTTCCTAATTGTCTCGATTTGTAAGAGGGTTTTGTAATGCTAAGTAAGCGTGGCGCAGTCCACCCGGCCTCCCCCCACCAGTCTCTCAGCCCGTCTTTGTTTACCTTCGCCTGATCGCTCATTTATTTATCTATCTATTATTTATAGGCGTCCCCTCCTATTCAGCGCCCGTGTATGTTAATTGTGTTATACCATTTAATTCTAACATCGGTCTCAAAAGAGCTCTTAATGAGAAAAGCATATACAACATGGATCACTTTGCTATTCAGCTCAGCCAGATGGACAACTGCTAACTTTTTTTTTAATAATGAAAATCCCCCTTTGACAAAGGGGTTCAGATGAATAGGCTCCAAATAACACCTCAAACACTTCTAATTGTTTTGAGGACAATATGCTAATCCGTGGTTTTCGGCTTTGGTGTCTGTTGACAACGTTTGCGTGCGCTTCCAGCCACCGACTCCTTTGGAAACGGCAGAGGCAAGCGCACAAATCCCTCAACAGCAGCAGAAAGTAGACAAGCCGCTAAACTGCCCCCACCCCCACCCCGCGCCAAATCAAACCTGGTGAGAAAAGCCCCCGACCTACGGAAAAATACTCGTGAGCACAGCTCTGGGGGTGAGACTGGGGACAGGAGACAAGAGATGGGGGGCACCCTTTGATTTTGAGAACAAGTTCCAAAGAATTGTTCTGGAAGGCATCAGGAGGTCCTTTTTCCCAATGAAAAACAGTAATCTTCAAGCAAACATTAACCCACCCGGGATAAGGAAAAGGCTCTTTTCCTTACTTGTTAAACGCGAAGGGCTACGCCTTATTCAATTTTTATGATGTTTAAAAAACTCATTGCATCGGAGCCGTGTCACTACCACCTTCCTTTTCCCTTTGCACCTGCAGACTCTTAATAAAAAGTCTCCTTCAATTCGGAGTGGTGACCTAGGGCACATTTTTCAGCATTTCTTAGACTTTTGTTTTTTAACTTAGGAAACCATATAGAGTCCCAAATCCTCAGAAGAGCCAGCAATAGCGTTTTCAAACACCTTGTTAAAAAACAAACAAACAAAACACCTTTCCACTGCTCTTCTCACAGTATCGAACTTAAACACCCACCGCAGGACGCGGTGCTCTGTGCGCAACTGGTTCCCTGTAGATTCCGCGCTTCTCTCCATTCCTTTGGAGTTTGGTTTAAAAAAAGAAAATGCACTCAGATCTCAGAAGTCTGGGTTGGCCTTTATCTTAGTTCATTCGCTCCTTGAAGTGGTTTGACCACTTCGTGAAAAACGCAAGAAAGAGTGATATCCCAGGCACAGATACCTTTGTCCAGCCTCTAAAGGCAAAAAGTGGATCCAGAGGGCATGATCGGGACAAAACCTAGACTCTGTGCTCCTTTTCACCCGGCCCACGGACCACCAGGCTTGGCGCACGCAGACCAGCCACCAGCCACCACTGCTGGAGTCACTCTATGTCCTTTTAGCCTCCCAGCAGCCCAGCTCCCGGACCCACGGACCTGGCCTCTGGACTTCAGATTTTATGCACATCAAAGGTTACTTTTTGCAATGACAGATTGTCTTTATTCAAAACGTCTTTGTTCAACAAATGAACAGAGTAAGGAGGTGAAATCCTTCTAGGTACATTTCCAAGACATTGTCAAAACATTTATGACCATTTAGGATGTTTTTATTCTTTTAATTTTTGTTCACTTTCTACTTCCTGACTTCATACCTGACATTCTGTCTAAAAGTAAACTTATGTCTCTAGGAGCACTGCTTTATACAAAGTAAATAACCATGTGGGTCCTTTTGTTTTACCTTTAAAGAAGCAAACACTATCATGGTATGATTTTAAATAGAAATGTTTCCCTTTCTGTAGTTTTAAAGTTTTAAGCCTTTTCCCCCACACATGAAGAGCAAATGGCACCTAGTTGTGTCTGATGGCAAAACACAGAGACACAGCTAACTCTTTCTTCAGAGTGCGAAAGAAAAAATATATATGCATATTCTAGATATAATACTAGGATCTGGCAGATCTGGAGTCCAAAGCCCATCAGAGAAAAGAGAAGGGGACATAAATAAAGCAAAACTGCCTACTTTTTTTTGTCCAAAGAGGGTACAGTCAGAGGTTTGTTTTGGGACAGGCGGGCTAGGGACAGCTGTATAGCTGTCATAACGGTCGCAAGTTTCTGGCACCTGTCTGCGCCTTGGGTCCGGGAGGACGCCCCTACCATCCCCGTGGAAGAGAAAGAGACAGACTCTGGGGCAGAGTAGAGGGTGGCGGCAGGGGTGACCCGGAGTCATCTGGAGGCCCCGGCTAGGCGCAGAGGACAGGGTGCAGACCCCGCTTCCAGGCTGCCCTCCAGGTCTGGCAGGCCGGGCTGGGGGTTACATGGCTGTGGCGTGGGCTGACGAATAAGGGTCTATGCCAGTCTTGGTCATGCCCGGGAAGAGGATGTAGGCGACGGGGGGCTGCAGGGTGGAGGCAGACCAGGCGGTACAGTTACAGGGCACCACGTAGCCCGGGTTGGTGGGGGACGGGTGCGTGTGCGTGTGCTGGCTGGGGCAGCTGAGGCTGCCGAAGGCGCCGTTCTGGTAGCCCAGGGTGGATGCGTAGGGCAGCGCGCCGGTGGCCAAGGTGTGGGGCACTTCACCCATCTTCTGGATGGCGCTCGAGCTAAACTGCGCGGGGTCCAGCAGGGAGTAGGGCGCCGAAGCGGGCGGCAAGAAGGCCCGAGCTTTCTCGGGCGCGCTCAGGAGGCCGTCGGAGGCCCCCACGGGCAGGCCGGCCGCCTTGAGCGGGTCCGTGTCGCCCAGGTAGGGCAGGGGGAAGACATACCTGTCCTTCTTGAGCAGGTTCTTGGGCTTGCGCCGCGGCCGGTACTTGTAGTCAGGGTGCTCCTTCATATGCTGGGCCCGTAGCCTCTTGGCCTCGTCGATGTACGGCCGCTTCTGTCGATGTACGGCCGCTTCTCTGCCTCGGACAGAAGCTTCCATTCGGCGCCTAGGCGTTTGCTGATCTCTGAGTTGTGCATCTTGGGGTTTTCCTGGGCCATCTTGCGCCGCTGGCCTCGGGACCATACCATGAAGGCGTTCATGGGTCGCTTGATGTGGTCTGAAGGTTTGGACATGGTCCCGGAGGCTAGGCGGGTGGGGGTGGGGAGTGCAGGAGCTCTGCAGGCGAGCCTGGACACGGTTGTCGGTCTGCCTGTCTGTCCGTCCTAAGCCGGGGCTCTGCGCTCCCCTCGCCTCCACACCAAAGAGGGGAAGCCAGAGAAGCGCTAACCCCGCAAAGTTCAGCTGATCATGCCAATCTCAGCACCCAAGCAGGCCCCGGTGGGGGGGGGGCGAGTAGGGGCAGGAAGGGCGGGGGAGGAGACGGCAGCCGGCTGGGAGGCTGCCGGCACCAGAGGCTGAGACCCAAGTACCGAAGTCTCTGGGACTAAGTGGCCAGGTAATTTGCAGGCGAGGGCAGGAAGCTCCTCCTTCTCCCCGTCTCTACCTTCGCCTTCTCTGGTTCTCTTCTATCTCTTGTCTATGGCCGTGGCTCCCTCCCCCCGCCCGTGGCTTTCCGGAGCCTCCTCGCCTAGAACAGCACCTAGCTGAGAATGCGGGGAGGCTGGTGAACGGGAGCCAAAAGCGGCGAAGTTCAAAGGCGAGGTGGGCCCGGACCGCACGCACTCTGACATAAGCGCGGGGCGGTGACTCCCCAACCTGGGCTCCAATCAGCAGCAGAGAAGGCGAGGGGGCGCACCTGCCAACGCGCCCGCGTTGGAAAGACGGAGCGCGACTGCTGGGGGCGGGGAGAGGTGTGAGGGAGAGACAGAGAGCAAGAGAACCGAGCGGCCAGCTCCGGACTGGGGACTCGGATGCCACATTGTTTCTGGCACTGTCAAAAAACAAAACTCTCCGCGCGCGTTTCCTTTTTCGACTGGGCAAAGGAGGAGTGGGACTTCGACTACAAAGACCAGGGAGGGGCAGCAAAGGGAGGGAGCCGAGGGCGCGTGTTGATAAATAGGACAGCCTCGCCACGAAATGCAAGGGCAGCACTTTCCCCCCTTGTCAAAGATCCTTAGAAGAGAAAAAGAATATATCAGACTCCGGTTAAAAAGCGAAATAAACTTTTCGCGCCGCGCCCTCGGCGGTCTTTTGGCGGCGTTCTCCTGGGACGCCGGCGCGGCTCCGCCTCCACTCTGCCCCGGGATGCGGCGCCTGGGCAGAGCGCTGGGCCCCGGGCTAGCTCAGCCGTGCGTTCCAAGCCGATGCCCGAAGGCCTCGCGTCCGGCGGTGCAGTTTTCAAATTCCGGTTGGCGAGCCTTGAAGAGCACTGCGACCCGCTCTTCACTTTTGTGAAAGAGACGGGGGATGGGTTTCCATCTCGATTTCTATCTATGTTGTTATTTAGTGTTTTTAAACCTCCAACTTTCCCTCCACATCTGTCCAAACCGCAAGGACAATCTGGAGGCCACCCGGCGCGCGGCGGGGCAAGTGAGCTTTCCCACTGCCCCTTCTGCAGCGACCCGAGAGCGGAGTCTTAGGCTGTATCCGCACCCGGGGTCGGTTTGTCCCTGGGCGCCTCTTCCCACCCAGCGAGAATGCGAGACTCGTTTCTTGCGTCAGATGAACATTCTTCGGGTAAAGAGGACGAAATAACCCGCAGAGCCAACCTGCGCGCCTGTTTCCTTTGAATAATTGCCTGCCCGGTGTGAAATGCCCTTGGGGGAAATATTTATTAAATGGAAACCATTGTCCCAGGCCCAGCAGGACCTGCGTGTGTTCCAGGCTTATTGGCTTTTGCACCAGCCTCTCTCGGGAGGACCGACCTGAAACGCGCGGCGATCCGCGGACTTGGAAGGGTTGGGGGTGGGGGAGGTAAGCAGAAAACGAGGAAGCAGGGAGAGAGGGTCTTTCTTTAGTATGTAGTGTATCAAGTTGGAGGCAAAGGCTTTGCTTCTCCTTCCTACAATTAGAAAGACGTGTGGCATTTCTCATCCTTAGCTCGCTCTTCACAGAGGAGGGGACTATGCCCATTTTACAGATTGGGAAACTGAGGTTAGGAAAGGCTATGCGATTTGCCATAATTGACTCCAGTGGTGACGCCGGGTGTATAGGATTGGAAAACTTACCTATTTTTTTCCACCCCAAGCGGCACCACGTCTGAAGATTAAATAGTGCTGAAGGTAAACGCTGGCCCTTCGACGAATCCATTGTATCCATCGAAACCTGCCATGAAGATAAACTGCACTGGAGTGATCCTCACGCCTGCTCTTGATTCATTTAGGCTCTGGTCCGAGACCTGGCTTCCCCGATTGTAGACCTCGAGCCAAGAGCGCCACCTCCGCCTGAGCTCGCAAGCAGGTACACAGCCTTCACATTCCCCTCAGCCCCAGCCGAGGCCTCCATCCTGCCCTCTACTCCTGTTTTCTCTGCAAGAAGTTTCATTTAGCTTGGGGTACCAGGAAGTAGAAGCCCTTTCCAGCCCAGTCCGGGGAGGATTTCCAAGAGCTGCAGGCAACTCCAACTCAGGTTGGACTAGCCTGCAAACTGAGCTCTGTGCTCAGAGCTTGCCAGGGATTGGAGGTCCAGGGCCAGGTCATTCGAATTCCACTGGGAGATCTCCAGGGCATTGGGAAGGAATGACAGAAATGTTAACATCTGCAGAGGTACAGCGTCCACGGGACCCGTCACTTAGGCACCCTCAGGGGACACCAAACCCACACAGAGCAGTTTGGGTTAATGCAGACCAGCCTCTTGGAAACTGCTTAAGGAGGGGATCTGGAACCTTTCCCTCTTCCCATCCTCCAAACTAACTCAGTCCTTTTGCCCCGGGGCAACTCGGGGCAGGCGCGTGTCTTGCTTCAGTCCTCATATTTCCACCTCCTCCTTTGTCCGCTTTCTTTTTTAAACATCTCGCGCTCAGATATTAGCTCTCAGTCCAAGAGTCTGAAGCGGATTATTACGGAGGGTGCGCAATGGTGGCGTGGCAGTTTGTGGGAAGGGCGCCCCTGACTACCCAGGGTTCCGAATGCCAAGCTGTCTGGGTCATACTGCATTGACTCTGGCGGGAGCCAGCACCCAGCTGGTCATACTGGCCTTGACACTTGAACTCTGCGCTGAGAGGGAACTCAACGTGGAGGGCCACGCGCTCGCTGCCTGGCGCCTCAACGTCTCCGCGGACAGCACAGAAGCGTACACCCGTTACACAGTACTGGCTGGTCACCAGTTTATTCAAGACTCCTTAGTGCTGGACCCCGCCCCAGTAGGAGTTCCCGTGATCCCCAGGCCTGGCCTGAGGCTGTCTCCAAACCATGCCTCTACCTTCTTCTGGGCTACTTTGTCCCTCTGAGCTCTGCCTCCCTGCCAGGCCTAGACCCCGGGGCAGACGTCCTGGACAGGTGGCCCCTAGGAGAGCCAGCAGTTTCGGTCACCGCTGGAACAGGTCTTAGGACAGAGGTCGCCTAAACGCGTCTCCTGCTTTATTCGCAGCCTGAAGCTGGGGGCTTAGGCCCCAGGCCACTCACCAGGGTCGCAGATCTCCCTGGGACGCGGCTTTTCCGCTTCCGCTTTTGCCTAGAGAATCCGCGCGCATGTCCTCCAGTACGCGCGTCTTTACGCGCGCACTCAAGGCACGCCACGTTCCGGCCTAAGCGTGGTGTCTGGGCCCCTGAGCAACATAGATTCCGGCAGCGAACCGTCAGTGTGCGGGTCGCGGGAAGGAGAGGCCACGAAGGTCAAGACCCAAGCCACTTCTCGTCCCTCCCCTTCTCCTCCTGGCGCCCCAGCAAGGTTCAAGTTGCGCCTTCATCTCTGCTCTGGGCCTTTGTAGGGAGCATTTCCCCTCTCCTTCTGCCCAACTCCTTTGCGTACCTCAGGTCTCTTTCAAGGATTCACCTCCCTCGGGGAGCCTTCTTTGATTCCAGAGCTGAGCTAAGGCCCCCTTCTATGCTCTCACTCTCAGGTCCTCTCCATTTCACGCCCTCTTTCCCAGCCTGGTGTGGAGCCCCGTCGCCGCCCGTGCAGCCCACGAGACTTCGAGCTTGAGCTTCTCGAAGGTCATGTTATGTTATTTTTGAGTGCCCAGGGTCTGCACAACTCCGAGAGCAAAGAAGACACTGGATAGTTTCCTTCTGCTCAGGCTGTCTGACAACAAGACTTTCCGTACCTTACAGCTAACGGGACAGGACCCCAGATGCAGCCTGGTAGAGCCAAGCGCGGACATCACGGGCCCTCAGGCCTGCACCCATCTGCCTGGCTTCAACGCTCTGCCGGCCCTCCAGCCACCACCCCTCCTCTCTAGTGGGCAGAAGATCTCTGCTCCGAGGCATCTGGGGCACGGAGAGGAGGGTTGCGCAGACCGTGGCTTGGAGAAAGTGGTTGGGGGTGGAGGAGCAGGGAGCTTAATACGCGGCTCTAGCCTGGCGCGTTTTCGAAGAGACCAGGAGAGTAGCCGCGTCTGGACAGGCCGAGGTGCGGGGCACTCACGTGACATCAGGCCTGCCGGCTCATTGTGGCCCCTCGGGGATTCTGGAGAGGACCTGAGCGGAAGTTCCAGATGCTGGTTTCGGGGAACCTCGGGAGCAAGCCAGAGCAAGCCGCTCGCTACTGGGAGTGTGAGCCCTAATCCAGCCCCGTCCCAAGAGTCAGCAGCCTAGGAGCCACCGTTGCAGATGATAAATTCATCTTGGGAAATAATGCACTTTAGTTAAATCATAAACTTTTGCTTTTGCTTATTCCCCAAATGTTTTAATATTTGGCGCCCCTGCTTTTTCCTTTTTTCGGTCTATTTCCAAATTCAGAGATGTGTATCCCATCTCTAGAGAGTGCTCAAGAAGACCCAGGGTTCTGGTCCTATTAAGACATTTCCTGGTAATTGCTCTAGGGTCTTCCTTCCAGAATCCAGCCTAGCCCACTCGTGCGTCTTCAAATTTTGTAACACTCCAAGTGTCTTCTTGCAGCCAAGATGGCACAGGAGGTGAAGCTTCCACCAAAAAACAGTGAGAAACGGAATAAAACCGGGTCCCAGAAATGATGCCTGGAGTGCCTGTAACAGCACGTTTGACCCTGAGCTGACAGAGCGTGCTTGACTGGGATGAAGGACGCTTCTGCCTTAAACCCCAAGTGCACCCAGGTAAGGAGACTCTTTGATACTTCAACCCACCTTAACTTGAGTAGCTGGGATCTGGTGGAAGCCGAGACCACATGACCAACTGATTTGGTGCAGGTCAATAGAAGAATACAT